CCGAGGCGATGCGACGTCGGCTTTTAAATAAATAATATATATATATATATATATAATCTTATATAAATATATATATATATATATTATTTAAATAAACGAGGCGACGTCGCCCCGCGGGGGGAAGGAAAAGGCGACGTCGCCGAGGCGATGCGACGTCGGCTTTTTAAAATTTTATATATATATATATATATATATATATATATATATATATATATATATATATACCGAACGGTATACCACTCAGTATACCGAGCGGTATACCGTACCGTACCGTATCGAGGGATCGTCGAAACTTCGGTACAGTACGAAATTTCAGACCTTGATATGACATGCCATTGAAGATTTTGGATTCACATCCGCTGTATGCCTAGCCACAGATGTCCAAGAATACATGTGGTACATACGTATCTGAAAACACTTCTATTGTGGAGTTAGAAAAAGGGTCTTGGTATGATGATTGTTTTTCTTTGAATTTGTTATCTTTTTTTAGTATTTTTTTTAATATCATACGCTGCCAAAAGCGTCTAGGAATTTCTTGGTTCAGAATTCATTTGAACTCATAGTTTTTATGATCCGATCATCATCTCTTGTTTGACTACTTACTTACCAGAAACAGTGAAGCACTTTGTACGGTTTAAATTATCAATTCTTTTCCTCTGATGCTGTATGATGGACTATCTGCAGGAAACAATAAAAAATCAGGTTGCAAATATGTACCTGTGGCCTAAAACACTAGAAGTGCCAGTTCTGGATGTTTCAAAGTAATTTGATGCCTCTATGTAACATTTAAGAAGCATAATTTTTTTATTCCGAAAAAAGGGGATACCAACTCCAGCATCTGTATCAATGATCCTGTTTATTATTGCAGAGCCTCAAGGAAGCCTGTTGGAATTCTTCATTTGAAGGTTATCAGAGCATATAAGTTAAAAAAGAAAGACCTATTGGGGAAATCAGACCCATATGTCAAACTGAAGCTTGGAGACGATAAGCTTCCATCAAAAAAGACAAGAGTGAAGCATAGCAATCTTAATCCTGAGTGGAACGAGGAATTTAAGTTTGTTATCAGAGATCCAGAAAATCAATTTGTTGAACTTAATGTCTATGACTGGGAACAGGCATGTGATTTTCTGGGTACAATTATTTCCTTTCACATCAGTCATATGGTCTTTGTTGTTTGCTAGTTTTTCCTTCATTGAATGTCTATTATGCTTACTATGTAGGTGGGGAAACATGAAAAGATGGGCATGAACGTCATTCGACTGAATGAACTTGCCCCCGATGAGCCAAAAACTCTGACACTCGACTTGCTTAAGAATCTTGAGAGTAGAGATGTTCAGAGTGACAAATCACGTGGACAGATTGTTGTGGAAGCGTTGTACAAACCTTTCAAGGAAAAAGAGGTACCAAAAGATGTCGGTGAGAATGCAGATGAAGTAGAAAAAGCTCCTGATGGTACACCATCAGGCGGCGGTTTGCTTGTTGTTATTGTTCATGAAGCTAAAGATCTTGAGGGCAAGCACCATACAAACCCTTACGTGCGTGTCACCTTTCGAGGAGAGGAGAAGAAAACTAAAGTATCTTGTGAACTAAATATTGATTTCCGCTGCATTCTGTAAAGTTTCTTTTACATATGACCCACTAATGGATTCTTATTAATTTATGGATGCAGCACATAAAGAAAAACAGAGATCCAAGATGGGAGGAAGAGTTTCAGTTTGTATGTGAGGAGCCTCCTATCAATGATAAAATGCATGTGGAAGTACTCAGTAGGGCACCAAGTATTGGCATACACCCTAAGGTACTCCTTGACATGGCATTTTTGCAAGAAATCTGTTAGTATGTAAATAGGCCAACTAGGAGAGATTCTTAGTGATTAGTGGTGCCTGATTCAAGTTTGCTTAGTTAAGTGTGCTCATCTGCATTTTATAGACACTTGGATCATGTCTGATGATTGAATTACAGTTCTTAATTTGACTGCCGTTCCTTGAAAAATATACATGTATCTTTGAATTTGATTGGTTTGAGCTGTTGTATCAGGCATGCTCATATTATGCTTAAATCTTTTGTTCAAAGTCCATAAACAGGTTTCACTCTGAAAAGCTAAGGAAATGATCTAATATATTTCTGTGTGTTTCATCCGTTATGATTCATCCTGCTTGCTCAGAAGGCATCGACTATGCAGGTTGATAACTTAGTCTGATAAACAATTTGATAAACCTTTGTAATTTACTGGTTTGGTAACACCTGCTACTGCAAAGACACACACGCCATAAGTACAAGCATCACAAAAAAAGAAGGTTTGTTTTAGATGTAATTAATTGGGCATCATGTTGTAATTTGGATGTGATGTTGATTTCCTTATTTATTTATTTATTTATTGGTTTACAATGATTGAAATTAGTGATATCGTGTTGGTCGTTTTGTACAAATCAGTAGTTTCGAGGTCTATACATTAGCTGAGACATTCCTTTTTCTTTCAGGAAAGTTTGGGATATGTTACCATTAGCCTCACAGATGTGGTGAACAACAAGAGAACCAATGAGACATATCATCTCATCGACTCCAAAAATGGTCGAATTCAAATAGAACTGCAGTGGAGGACTTCTTAGAGCTATCTAATGAACAAATCCCAGCATGGGAAGAGATTGTACTTACTGAATCAGATGCAACAATGATAAAGGTGGAAACCTGTTTGATATTTCATAAAAGAATCTCTGTTCTTACAAAGTTCCTTTCTTTTCAATACATAATAATGTTTGAATTTTTGTGGTATAAGATTTAAAGATAGAAAATCATCTTTGGATTATATGGAAGAAGAAGAAGAAGAAGAAGAAAAATCATCTTTACAGGTAGAAAGTGTTTTTCAATTTTCCTTCTTCTTTCTTTGCCTCTTTCTGAAGTGAGGTTTCATAGATTTTACCGGTTAAATGTAAGTTCCGAGTCTCAACTGGAATTATGAGCAAGCTTACAAGTTCTAATAAATGTAAGTTACCGAGTCTCAACTGGAATTATGAGCAAGCTTACAAGTTCTAAGGCATGTATCACTGCTTAGATCCTCTTGCTTCGTTTCCCATGGATAGAGTAAACTTTTTGCACTTGTGAATATAAAAATTACCAGAGGGAGATTATTTTTCTTGTACTGAAGTGAGAACACTAATTGGTTAAAAAAGACATTCTGGCAACTGTAAGAGAGGATTTTTTTTTTTTTGACTTGGTAACCATTTAGTAGGAGGGAGGTCCAAACACTCGTTCGCGTGGTTTATTATTTGTACCACGTGTGGCTTTGATTAAGACTTAGATTATCTTAATTACACGTGTTAATTATTTTTTGATGGGTGTCAACAGTGTTCCAATTTTTTATGTTTGTATCAGAGAGTGATGATGGATTTCACACAAAGTTCAAAGCAGAATGGTGTTGAGGAGCTGTCGTGCAGATTTGTGACTTTGGGAATCCTGTGGGTGGGTGTCTTTTTTTTTTTTTTCTTTTTGTTGTCTGTTTTGACTGCCTACACATTTCGTTGGCGTGTGGTTTCCGCCGTCGAACTCGCCTTTCGTTTTCGAACTGGATGGGAAGGAAAGGGACCTTTTTTTTTTTTAGTGTGTCGATTAAGTTGTCGTCATGATCCTCGACGTGACCAGGGAATCTTTAGTTTTTCCTCGTCGAGATTCGTGCAGATTTATGATCATACAATAAATACTTATTATTATTATTATTATTATAATATATATATATATATATATATACTAGTGTTAGCTCCAACACCTAAAATCCTCTAAATAATGAATGGATCGGGATCACAAACCAACGTCCCAAATACATTTTCTAATCATCTTACCACCAAAGGATATCTATTTCAATTTCGGTAGCTCTCAGATGAAGAACAAGAGTTACAAATGCATCATCGGAATGACAGAACAAGTTCTTCTACGCAAAACTGAACTGTATTAGTCTAATTGAAATCAGCTTTATACTATGTAGAGTGTAGCTCGTACAGATTCAGGCATACCAGGTAAAATTTTGCATGGAGCAGCCACAACTCATTTGCTGGTGCTTTGATCTGTACCATCGTCCAAAGCTTCGGTTACACCCACTTCAGCTGGACGAATGACTCGATCATATAACAAGTATCCCGACTGCAACCACATGCAAAATAAAACGAACCCAATTACGCCAACTAAAAAGCAAAGACCCATCATCATCACCAGGATTTCAATGATGAGTTCGCCAAACTGATGCAGGCAAAACAATTCCCGACAATAATGGTGGCATTACTTGTTAAAAAGGTAAAATTGAAGGCACAGAATCCCAACAACATTTACATTCTTCATTACATGACGCACAGAGTGGTTAATAATGTTAAATCATCAAAATTAATATATATTTAGCTATATTTAGCTTCATCAAAATTAATATATGTCAGATATCTAGATGAAGAACAAATTATATAGTATGTCTTTGGTAAGTAGAGATATATAAATGTCTCACTCATGATCACTTCTATTCAAGCCCATCCCATCTAATTAATGAACGCTGAACATACAAGACAAATCTTTAGGCAAAATGACTGTATCATATCAGCTTCACTTATGCTACAAACTTTTTGCTCCATCCTAGTAAGGCAAACTTGGACAAGTGCTTTGCATAGAAACCTAAGAGTAATCGTATTGAACTACGCTTCTGCTTCTTGGCAATAAACTACAGCCTTCTGTCCATTTGTAGAAACTAATTACTAGAATGATATCCCGATGAAAATGAATCTATATACTGCTACTGCATACCTTGAGAACAACAGCCACAGTGCCTGGTGGTTTGGAAGAGTCCGGTATTTGGAAAGCTGCAAGATGCCTGTGTGGATCAAACTGCTCATCCAAAGGATCAAACTTCTCGACTCCAAATTTCCTGAACACCTAAAAGCCAAAACAGTTGTCTTTTCAGCAACAAACCATGCATGTATGCCAAGAAAATCACATTAAAAATAGTGAAGCAAGGAAAATTGAGTACTAGTTATACAAGTTACAGTCAGATATACATTTTAGTACAAAAGATGTGTGGCTATCACTTTGTCAATCCATAACCATTAGTAGTAAAAACATAATTTAGCCGAAGCTAGCACAAACAAATACAGAAAGGTGTTGAGTATACACAAGATCAAAAGGATGACACAAAGGACCTATTTTTGTGAATCGAACCCCCAGTCCAAAATCTCACCATCCAACCCAGAAGAAAATTTTGATCCTAATATCTGATTTTAATACAAGTAACAAATTTGTACATATAATTCTGGCAGTACAAATCCAGACAACAAATGATCCCTCTGTACTGTACTAACAAGTTGCAATCTTGCCCAACGGTTGTGTCCCAGAACTTCTCCAATTTACCTAACTCCCATGAGACTAGTGTACAAGGTTACAAGGCAGAACTTGGAGCAAGCCTTGCATGGAGACAGGCTACCTCTTCAATATGTTCACTAAATTGTGAAATGCAGGTTCCTAACAGTATTGGCCAAAAGATTGCTGCATTCATCGGAATGCCAAGATTCTGAAAATGAAAATTTTGTCCATGAGATCAATATCTACAGACATGTTGTAAGAGAATGTAGTCATCAAAGGGTATTACTGCTGAAAACTCCCACATCAAATCTAAATGACCAAAAAACAGTTAGAAAATTCTTTATTACATGTCAATAACCCTTAACTTTTAGACCCTCTAGCCATTCATGCAAGAAAGGATGGTATAACCATGGTTGCAGCCAATGAAAAAAAAAAGCATTTGGTTAACAGTGACAGTTACTTGCTCACAGTTTTGCATTTTAGTTCTTGTTCTTTTTAACTTGTAAATCAAGGTTTGTCTGAAATTTTTCCTTCTTTTTGAGACATGATTTAATTATCTAGACTTACTTCACAAAAGAAAGTCAACGCCCTGCTTTACTCCATATTTCCAATATGATCGCCAAAAGCAACTATTATATATTCTACACAAATTAGCCCACCACATCTAGTCCCAGTACATCTTCGTCTCTTATTTCAGTATAACTTGTTACCTTTGATGCACTAGGCAAACACTCTTTGCTTTGTGTACCATTGTGCTTTGTCAAAAATCAATTAGTCCAGAGTCAGCTTGCTTCCATCATGTCTTGCTCTCAACATAAAGCAATACCTTGTTCCATAGAAAAAGAAAGGAAAAGTAGGCATACATTTAGCCTACTCCTCTATAGACAGCTTAATATATGTGTGTGTGTGTGTGTGTGTGTGTATGTATATACATATATATATACATATGTATATACATATATGTATATACATATATGTATATACATATGTATATACATATGTATATACATATATATATATACATATATATATATATATATATATATATATATATATATATGCTTATTTTTCTATCATATGAGCTGTAACCTTAATTTGATAAGTAAAAGCAAATATGGCAGAAGGGCCACCGTATAAGAGTAAGATTTTTTCAAAAATACATTAGAAAATCCTACTTCAAGCTCAATCTCCCCTCTTGACCAATCTAGTAATAGAGGATCTCAAGACTTGTGGTCATAAGAAAGAGGAACTTCACCAAAACAGAAAAGATGCCCAACTCATTTTCATTAAACTGGGACCTCATTGGCCAAAAGAGGAAAATACAATCTATTGTTTAACCACCGAATATGAAACTATGGAGTAAGACATAGATTTCTTAATACAATCAATTATGTTCATTCTGAGTCAACCAGTCAATTTGCTTTCACTCTCTTTCACTTAATAGGGAAGTCAGAAAGCCAAACATCCAATCTCACTAGCACAGAATTTTTCAGTTTAGCTAGTTGGGTCCTATTATCCTTCACATTCACTTATCAGACAGAATACCCACAGACAGAATGACTTGCACAACTTTTAAAAGGCATATGATCACCCCCAGAACCATCAACAAAACAAGCATCTTAGTTCCTAGACATGCCAAAAGCTCACACATCTGTCTTTCACTACCCCAGATACAAAGACATGCAATGCCTTAAAATGAGACTTTCCTGAGTCAACTACAAAAGAAAGCTCTATCAATTTTAGACAGGATATTACATTTTCATATCACATTAGCAAATGCAAGTTAAAATTTTGTGATCCAAAAGATTTACCAATAAATTACCACTATTGCAAAACGATTGGGACTTGTCTGTTTCTACAAACATTTCACAAAGCCAGAGAGTCAAATATGAAGCATAATTAACTGAGGTCAGTCATGCAATTTACCTCTACAAGTTGTTTATCAGTCATTTCAACACCCTCAAGCAAGGTTTTTATAAGTGGCACAGCTCCAACAGAGTCTTTGGATTCATCTATCTTTGAAAAGCTTTCTTTGACAACAGATGAAGCCCTTCCAAGATTGTCAGCAACATCTAGTAGGCTCTTGGCAAAACTCTGCACAAAATCATATCATATACATAAATTTTAAGATCCAAATTCACCAAAAAGGTCCTGTGCACTGCCAAAGGAAGAATCAGGGAAAAAAGAAGAGGGGAGGGGTGGGGAACCTGTATTGCAAATTTTTTTGAGTTTTCTGCCTCACGTTTTGTCCTGTCAATAACATTTTCAACTTCAGCACAACTGCGAAGAACTTTATCTTGCATTTTTTCAATCTCCTTGTGCTTCAATTTCAGCAACTCTTCCTTCTCTGCAACAAGCTTGACTAGATCATCAATTGATAAATCAGCCTCTGCATCCGAATCAGAAAATTCAGTTCTTCTTGGACTCTTCATTCTTTTACTAGATTGAGACTTGGAATCTAAACTAAAATCTGCTTCATGTGACTGTCCTGTTATAGTAGAACCACTGCCAGTTTTCTCAGCCTCATTACTATTTCTAACTTCCGATGAACTTCCTGGAACATCATCATTGTTCCCAGATTGATTTGCCTCCTTATCAGTATGATTAGGGGACACAGAAGATGAGAAGCTAAAACGATGAGACCTCGCAGTCAAAAAAGCTGAATGCCGTGGCAACAGATCCATTTGGCAAGGAGACCACTGGAAAGTGAAATGCATTATGAGTTGCTAACACAGGAATGACAATGTTTTCCATCAATAAACTTTGCGCATGAAACGCATTACATAAATAAAAACACTGATGCATGAACCATAAAAGTCTACAAAATACATCATCTTGTTTCTTGTCTAAAATATTGATCCATCCATGACATAGACGTCTTTATCATGACCATATCATATCCCAATCCAAGAAGAGAATCAGATACTCCGAGACACTGACGTTAAGATCCTGACAACATTGACATAGCAATAGTTATGGAAACAGATGGAGGTGGGGATGGTGGAAGTGATGAACAACAGTGATGGTGGCCGTTTAGGAAGGATGAAGATGGCAGTGGTGGCGGAAACGGCAGAAACAGCGGCATAATGATGGCGGCACCAGTGGTAACGAGGAGGTGCCAAACAAGAACAGTATCGACATGGGATCGAGCTGTAATGCTGATGCGACGGAGGTAATGCTGAACGGTGGCGGTGGCTCTAGATTTGTCGCTCGACAAAAAGGATCAGAAGAACATACAGAAGCCCAACTCTTAAAGCCCGCAGCCAAAGAAAGATCAAAGCATTCGACGGTTCACGATACGAGTGAATCAGAACAACCGTCTGACTGAAACCCTTCGATCCATCCCCAAAGGATTACAACAAAGCAAGACAAGAAACACTACGAACGCATCTACATAAAACCATATGTGTCTGAGTTCGAGAGCATGTAGAAATCTCCACCTTCACCGACGAGATCGTGGCGGGATCCGCAGGCGACTCCCTCAGGGAACGGAAGCCATCGCCGACCGGCTGCCACCGACAGGACACTGACATCAACCGGTGGGCGATTCCGCTCCTAGCGACACGAGATAAAACCCTAGAAGCCATCGTCACGAGACCACCACCGGGGATCGAGGAAACGAGTTTTCTGGAAGCGGGCGTTAAGCCAAGCGATCGGAGAAGAAGATAGCTTTCGTTGAGGATACTTCCCGTGTTGACTATTATACCCCTGACGCTGGTTTGGATTTTAGGAAGAATTGCCCGGCATTGTAGTGTAATTTATGGTAAGTTCAAAGGGTTCATCTGTCTAAATGAAATTTGGGGGTGGGGGGTTGGGGGTGGCCATTGGACTTTGGTCCGGATTTAGCCCAACCAATTAATTGGGCCGAGCCAGAGATCGCGACGGTCGAGCCGCAAAAAGACGCTCGAAGAATCCACATCTTCCCGCGCCAAGGCCGAATCCCTAAAGCAGTGAACCCTAATAAGAACGGCTCCGCCTCTTCGACTCTTCGGATCGCCCAACCCATCTCTTCCCCTGCCGCCCTCGTCCCGAAGGTTTGCCCCGCCGTGGATCGATCATGCTTTTCCATTCCAGTAGTTGTGGGAAATTCTACTTTATCCGAATCAATTATTTCTTCGTCATTTTACTACTTGTGTAATCCATCGAAATGATGTTTTACCGGAACTATCGGGGCAGTGCCTTGATCTTTCCCGTGCTATTTACATCCCCGCTTTTCTCTTTCTGCGAGCCTTGGGTGTTTGATGATTGTAGTGGTCCTCAGCGATCTTTTAGTTGGAGCGGATAAGGAGATGCTCACCACATACTTCGATCACGACACTTATTGAAATGAAGTAGCGACTGACTACTAGATCTTAAGTTTCATCTGCTCTGGAACAATCGAGAGCAGCATGTGTGTCATCTCATGATGCGTATAACCTAATTTTTAGTGCTTCTAAATGGTTTGTCTAAGGAGCTTCTCTTAGCATAGCCTCATCGAGGAACAATGATTTGAACAGGAACAACTACTACTCTTAATCGTCTCTTTTTCGCATGGCTGGTTGTCTGGGTAGTGTATACTGAACTTAGATAACAATAAATTTTCTTTTATACTATGATTTGGACATAATAAAGGATGCCATTGATTCATATTTCACTACCTACGTGTTGGATTTTGTTATTCCTAGCTTAATTGTTGTTGTTTCATCACCACCTTGTTCGAGTAGACAGCAGGTCTGCTTTCTATTATTGATTTGATGATGATGGTATGTGAAGAATGTGAATCAAACTCTAAATTCATGCAAGTATTTGTTATGTTGCAGAAGGATTAGGTTTTCAGCACATGATCATGGAATATTAACTGATTATTGAAACATTTACACATGGTTGTGCAGATAATGGATACATCGAGTCCTGCAGTTTTTGTTAATGCCGAGATTCTGAAAATGTATCTGGGAAGGAGAGTTCGGGCGGTGATTCAAGTGATGCGAAATGACGCTGGGGTTATTGTGGGACAATCAACTGATGGGAATCAAATAACCGTTAAGGGCGCTCAGGCCGTCCCTCCGTCTCATTATGTGGAGGTCATTGGAATTGCTGATGGAAGTCAGTCGATTAGAGCTGAAATTTGTACCGACTTTGGCCAATCATTTGGTAACTTTGACCTCAGTTTTGGACTTATATCGTAATGATTTACTTCCGTGGTCCCTTCTCTGTTTTTGCATTGCCAGATGTTGTTTATAATCCTATATATATATATTTTATATATATATATATATTCATTAATCCTGAGAAGAGATTTTTTTCTTTCTTTAGTTATTTGCAGATCATGAAACCCTGGTTAAAGCTGCTGCCTAATTATCACCTATATTTGTAGTTTATACTTTACACATTGACCTTTGTTTTAGATAAGCAAACTTAACAATCTTCCATTGTCTAGTATTGGTCTTCGACATGTATGGATTTTCTTCACATTAACTTTCCACTTGATGTTAGACGATACAAATTCTTATTTGTTGTTGGTGCTCAGACCGATGATATTTGTTCAGCTGGTTTATTCTTTATCAGATTATCTTGAATGGATTTTCTTCTGCTAGATGTATGTCATTGGTAAATCGGTCGGTCTCCGAGCTAACGTATAAGGAGACCGACAAGGTTCCTTTTTCTTTCTTTTTTTCTCAACATTTTATTTGCATTACGTTATGTTTCTTTGTATTAATTAGATTGGTCTGAGCTTGAAAGTACAAAAATCTTCTTACTTCCCTCTACTTCATCAGTGAACTACTTATGTGCATGCTTTTATGAAGAGTGAGTTTATAGTGCATGTAATCTTGCTGTGGAAATAGAAACAAACAAATTCAACGCGGATTCATCCTCTACATTTGTCTTGTAATTTCCTTGTGCTGTTTTCACTTATCCTGTAAAAGTTTCTTTCCCACAGATATGTCAGCTTACAATGGGCTCTGCCAGCTTGCAAATGGCAAATTCAAGAATCTATTCCTTTAGTGCAGTGCTGGATGTTATTCAACTGTGCTGCAAACCCAAATTGATCGACTTGTTAGGAAGGATCAGATCCTTTTATGTTGATGCTTCTTTCTTGTAATGTAGGCTCTGTCATCAGAACCTATTGTGAAGAACTCCTATTGTCTTGTGAATTTGGAGAGTTGAGTATTCATACTTTTGCAGTAACATATTCTTCATCTTAGGGATCAAAGGTTTTGTCTGGTGAGAGTAGTTTGTGGTCAATGAAACGTTATGCTAATGCATTGCACTCAAAAATCTTTTGCAACTTCAAAGTGCCAACATCTGCACTGCAGAAGCCACTGTGATTTTAGTGGACATATGTGTGGATACAGAAAGACGAAAACCCTGTGCAGGCTACATATATCGTAATGGAGATAACCATTCAAGTGTGTTCACGAGAAATCGACAACTACTTCATCAACTAGGGAATTAAAGACCCTTCGTTCCATCTCAACTCCGGCTTCGAATGCTTCAATTTCAAAGCGAGTCCAGCAACCTAGATGAGTGTTCATGCTTTCATTCACTAGTTCATCGACAATCCCATCTCCAGTGCCATTCCATCCTGAAATCTCCTTGTACAGTTCCTCGGCCAACTCTTTCATGGCAACAACCACCCCTTGTGCCCATGAATGATATCCTGCCCGGAAGTAGCGGCTGCACTTGCTGTCCAAACATTCATTCACGGAATCAAACAGCATCTTCCTTCTCATCTTGAGCTTTTTCACCTCTCCTACATTGTGTGCAGTGGAGGTTCTAGTCTCTTCCAACTTGTCGAAAAGAATAGGATCAAGTATCTCGAATGAATGGTCGATCGCACAAGGTATCAAATCCTGGAATGTAAAGCCTGTGTTGGTTAGTATCTCCCTCACATACCCAAGTTCCTGGCTGCATGCATTAGAATGACAACTTATGCCAATTTCTGTGACCATTTGTCCATCTCCATTATGAACAAATGGTGACACCAAGTTGGATAATTTCGAACTGGAGCCCATCTTGCTTCCTGCAGAGTATCAGATTGCATAAATGTTAGGGCAGAAAAATCAAAACGTAAAGTGCTTGTAAAGCAATCTGATCCTACCATGAGCATTATCCCAGCTCTCAGTTGAGTAGCAGGAAAGAGGACTCTGATCTTGATGACAACACTTTTCATCCACACCGCTACTATTACAGTCCACCATTTTCACTTCCTAATAAAATGATAAAACAAGGGTCACTTGGTTAGCAAAAAGCTGATTCTGTATAAAAAAAGACTTGAGGTAGGTAGACATGTAGAAGATTATTATTCAGAAATCTTACATACTGAGACTTGCAAATCTACCCCCAGTAGATATCGTTGCATTATCAACATAAGAGTTTCATATTTTCTCTTGAAAGAAGCTGCATGCAATTTATGAACTCTGCCCCAGGAGTTATTCATTCCATATCTTTCTTGCTTAATGTGCTCTATACATATCTAGTCATTTATGATACAGTTGCAACATATGCAATCAGCTTGTAGTGGCCAATGATAATAATCCCATCGAGTACGTATGAACTTCTACAACCATTATGTTTATACATGATAGCATCATAATCAGAAACATGAAAAAAGGAATAGGTTTGAGTATGCTGTTTTTTCTTTTCTATTTTAATTTCAAAAGTAGTGTACAACAGGCACAGCTTTGCCACTAATTCAATCCTGCACAATTTCCTAATTCTCCGAAAGGACAACTGATAATGAGACAACACAAAATAGACTCCAAAAGTATGCTTAAAAATGATGCCACCCAAAAGGATCTAGCAGTGGAAGTATCTGATGTGAAGTTCATACAACTCACTGCAGATTGAGATACAGTCAGAGAAATCCTAAACTTTGACCATTTCATATAACTCATAACAGACAGCAAACATCTGAACAAGCTTTATAATGTTTTTTTTTAAATGATTCTAATAAAAACTGGTAGTTAAAACTTCAAATAAGAAAGCTAATCAATTATAAAGCCTCACTAGGTTTCTTACTCTGAATAAGTGGAAGCCAATTGTTGCCAAATTACAAGCTACTATGTTTTGTATGTATCTGTAGTGTGTATAAATTATTCTACATCGCACCCATGAACTTCAAGGCTGCGGTGGTTTTTGTCAAAACATTGCAATCGTACCATTCTGTCACAATAATTGTTAGCCCATCTTCATGCTCAAACGCAATGAGCATTTCTGATCAAATTATTGCCAAGAGACTAATAGTGCACTCTTTGTTGTCTTTAAGTGTTTGAACAACATTTATATAGTTTGTAGAGATCACGATGTACAGTACCATCTCTCAGCAAGCCCAGACAGTGAAAAGAGCAACAGGTGGAGAATGAAGACATTACAAAACATAAAGGTACCACTTAACGTATGCAGTTAAAGTGGGAAACCTATTTAATATTTATCATGATTTCATACTTCTGTTTGTAGATGACAAGCACACTGGCAAAATGTTTATTGACAAAAATATGATGACTCCAAATTAACTTGTTCCATGGAAACAAAGGATATAATTGTCAACTTTGAAATCTATTAGAAACCTCTACTTCCTCCGTGTAAAATATTGATGCCACAGAATGAAAAGGCCATCTCCATCATCATCCCATCTTCATATAATTTTACCACATGCATACTGAAAAATAACGTTGTGTAGCTGTAACAACAACATAAGAACCTCTCAAGGTATCAAAAGCTGTAGACTACCTCTGTTGCATTAGAATAACAACATGCACAACTTTTAAATGACAAACCCTTCATCATGTCATAAACTGACGAATACTTATGACCTAATGTGACAAAGACAACAGCTATCCTTCATAGGAAATAACTTTTAGCTAACAAGTGATTGTCATTCTTTATATGAAGTTACTGTAGCTGATGAGAATGCCGAGGTGGACATCCAAGGTTCCTAAAAGAATGAAAAATGTTTTCACTGATGAACAATAGGTAATAAGCCCTAACAGAAGATAAAATGACAGGGAAGTGCTTTAAAAAGTATGGAGATGTTCGAAGGAGATCTGTAAATACCCCAGTTAGACATGATGAGCCAACTAGAATTAGTAATGATAGGAAAAGTATAGCGAGGCCTAAAAAAAATTTCTAGAAAAAAAAAGAGATTTAATTGTTCTTAGTTATTATCCTATACTGGACTCCACTATGAGAAAAGGTTTTCGTACTCAACCCAAAAGGGCAGGACATTGCAGTTTGCTGTTGTTTTGTTATGATAGTTATTGTCCTTTCAGGCCATGCATTGATAATTTTGCTGAAGTTACTACAGGAACAAATTTGGAGATTGCATGAAATTGAAGCACTCCAACAAGAACATAGGTAAGAACAAACTACCTGCAGCTTATAGCTAATGCTTTCTGCCTGATCACTAGATAATGAGTCTGATTCAAAGCTACCAGATAGTTCATCATCATAGGACCTCAATAATAAATCCATTTTGTGTTCGGCAGGTGCAATACTTGGTTCAGTAAAAGCAGAAATTGAATCACCCAAAACAGATGCATACGCTGGAACACCACCTCCATTAACTAATTTACAATAAGGTGACTGAACCCTTGATGTTAATTCCCACATCTTTCTTTCTAAAATAATACCCAAACAATCAACATCTGCCTCATGCAGTTTGAGATGGGACGATGTCTCCCTGTCTGAACATTCAGCAGCATCACAAGGATTCTCGGAATGGCCATAATTTTTGTCCTGCATCTCCACCTCAAGACTGGAAGCCTGTGATGCAGGCATTGGCTTTCTTATAGGAGCTGTAAATGTAAAGGATACAACATCCACAGAGTTTTGTGTGTTGTCATAGTGCCATCTTAAATGTTCATCCATCACAACATTATGCTGAACCTGTTTTCCATGTCTATCTAGCGATATGTCATGATAGAACATGTTCCTTTGGGAGCAGGAGCTCTGCTTTACCAAACTTTTTTTTCGTGTAATGTTCTTGTAACCTGCTGGCAATCTATCCTTGTTAATGTCAGGAAGTTCTGTATCTTTCTTTGGGTAGCCAACTTTAGCATTGCCAGAATGTTCATTTGCAATCTTGTTCTTTTTAAAAGAGGCATCTCCAGGGACAGATTTCGTCCCATTTAGCATGCCTTTAGCAGCAAAAGGATGGGCTTCATTAGTATTTGGAAAGGCTTGACCAATTGTACTATCTTTTAACCCCTTCAAACTTCTTCTCAAGGCCCATTCTTGAAGAGATCCAGGAGCATCTGGCTCGGTAATTCCTTCAGATGATTCTGTAGACATCAATATCTTTCTAGGTAGTGCTATGATCCCATTCAAATTATGATCTTTAGAAGGATTCAAAGGTGCCTTGAAAGACTGAATGCCACCCATGCTACCACCATGAAGTTCTGACTCAAGAACATTTGCTGCTGCTTCAATTATGTAAGATGCACTATCAGAAGAGATGAAACTAGGATTTTTAACAGGAGAAAGCAATTTTTGGTGAGTGATTGCAACAGTTTTAGCTACTCTGCAAGGCATCAAATCTGTTTGGAATTCCTCGATCGGGCCGCCTGGCATATTTTGGGACTTCAACTCTGGTCTTCCAGAACAGATAACCCTTCTTGTAACCTCATGGTAGAAATCATCATTACCATACATTACAGTTCTACTATTGTCATCCCGAATCGAGCTCAAGTCGTGTAAGGGTGTAGAATAAGGCTCAGAAATGCCTGAAGCTGGTATATAATCCAAACCCATAAGCCTGGCTATAACCCCAGGAGTTCTTAATCCACTTCCCTCTTCATTAGTTACCGAAGAAGCACCAGCAGAGCGACTGCCTGCCTTAGTGCTTGCTACTCTCTCAAACTGATTCTGCTCAATCTGCAAAACCAAAAATGTGAGCATCAAAATATAGGAAATTGACACGAAAGTGAGGGTTAAGGAGGTACCAGATGAAACCGTGAGGTTGGCATATTATCATCATGCTTATTCCCTTGGATTGTTTTCTCTGTAACAGAGAGGGTTTACTAAGTCATAACAATTTAACTTCACCAGAAGAAAGGAATAGGATAGATCGATGAGGAGGAAGAAAGAAAAGGGCTTACCAGACGAAGCATTTCCATCAGGGAACAATTTCTTGCGTGACTTCCGGTTCCAACCAAACAGATGAAACAAACCTCCACCTCCACCTCCACCCTCAGAACCCATTTTGCATCATGAGATCAGCATGGTTCCAAAGCTAGAACAGCAACTCACTTCCTGTTCACATCAAGCTGCACCCCGTGGTCCACAGTCTAAATCAAGAGTAATCGTCATCTAACCCCAAAAGGGTGTTCGATAATGCACAAAACAGACACATATATCCGAAACAACAGAGTCAAATTATACGCATCATCCAAATGGTATAGAAGAAGACAGACGAATTGGACAGATGAAACTTCGATCGAACTACCACGGTAACCAATAGCTTGCAAAAGGGCATTGCCAGAAAGGAACACGCAAGAAAGCCACCCGGTCGCAGAGGAAGAATCTACATTCTGCTCTCGTCGAAAGAATCACCGGATTGTAGAGTAAAACCATCTCGGGAACCGAATGGGAGGGGAGAGAGAACACGGACCGTGAATCGCGAGTGAAGTAAGCGAGAGAGATGCGAGGCTCCGAAATCCCGTCGACCTTTCTCTTGGAGTTCGCCTAATCCTTAGGGCTTGGGGAGGAGCAGAGGAAGGAGAGAAGGGCGAGGAAGAAGCGAGCGGGACGTCATTAATGGGGACTGCAATGAAGACAGACGGGGGACTATAAATGAGTCGAGTGGACGTCATAAATGTAGCAGTAGCAGAAATGGATTACGCTACCTAAAAATAAGAAATTAAGCTTAACCTTGCGTAAATTTTAATAATAATATGGTAAAATTAATAATAATAATAATAATAATAATAATAATAATAATAATAAAGACCATAAACGGCTCTTTATAATTGCTATGGTGTGTGTTCTTTGAGTGCAATCCCCAACAATGTTAAACAATAATTGAAACTTGACAAGTTAAATGATTGGAATATTAACTTTGCGAGAGATAACTAAGACTCCTCTCTTTATAATTAATTAGATTGCGGCACAAACTAATTAATTATAAGTTTACTTCAAGCACGTGATACTTGTTTTTATACTAAACTACAACGATGAGATTGACCAAGTCCAATGCATTGCTTGGTATAATGATTGTTTCAGGTTGGAAGTCAATGGTTCGGACACTAGCTAAGACTAAATGCAGCAATGTAATACATATGGTCACATAATTAAGTGGGAAAAAAATCCAACCTATTCTTTAGTGGTGGAGACTGCTATGGATTTAATCTGATAAAGCTGGGCCATGTGGCTTCAACAACCTCAAACAGATGATCGAATAAAAGATGAGACTCATGTATTATAATATCAACAAAGGGAACTATGAGAACTATAATATCATTATCTAACAGGAGATTGATTATAGGGTGCAGGATTCAGACCTCGTCATTCAACCTCAAAATGGACTGCTTCAAATCACAGCTCCATTCATGACTCCAGGATTCAATATATAGAATCGTCAGCAACAAAGACTCGTAGATGCTTTATTTGTAGGATAACTTTCAGGAAAATAGAAGATCTATCTGGATGTTTCACTTTGTTGTGAATATTTCACTTCCCTGGCCCTCTGGCCCTGGCTCTGGCATAATAGCTGTTCTAAGGACAAATCCCTTGTAAAGGCACTTTGAAGGCCAAATCAATTCAATCTCCTGACCGGACCAAAGTAGATTTATTTACTCAGATTCATAACATTTTAAGCAGTTATCACAGGGACTCGGACCAGTCATGCAGCCATCCCTGCTAAAAGTCTCTCCAAAATGTTCCAAAAGTGTTTGCCTCCTGCATTCCTTCTAAAACATCCACAATTATTTCATATAGTTAGCTTCACAGACCAATATTATCAGCGCTGCTATACAATAAAGAAATTAATTATTGAGTGCACAATATGGAGTAAGACCGGAAACAAGCACCCACAAATCAGTCTGATTTCAAAATAAGACAATGTCTAAATAATTAGCATAGATATACAAATAAGAATCTTAACAAATTAAATGATCTAACCATCTAAATGCCAAACTCACAAGTACAAGGATGTATCTGATTTCACATTCTTATCAAGTAAGTAAGATGGACATAACAACTAAGCTTTCTCCTATCAAGGTGAGGTTAATCTAAACACAGGACATAAATCTAAGAAATGATTAAAGATTGGTATGAGTGTGCTTGTAGGATGCAACTCGATCTCAACATAAAATTTTCCTACTCTGTAAAGAACTGAAGGACAGAAGATGCCAAGTAATGACAGTGGAAACTACAGTTGGGAAACAAATGATAAGCTAAGGGTTGAACAGAAAGTTTCTAAATAAATGTTCTAAACAAATGATAAGCTAAGAAAATGAATTTCTCATTAAAAGTTCATCAGCTTTTAGCTTCTTGGCTTGTCAGCTATGTATAGTTCATCAGAGATTATGATAAAGTCTGCTAACATCAAATGGAAAACAAATATTTCCAACATGCAAACCAAATTCAGGACCAAATCAGGGGCAAATGTTTTATTCTCTTATGCAGCTTCCTGGAAAAATCATGACAAACTTGGGAGAATAAAAATACCTTCAGTTCACAATATTCTCGCATTTTCTTTGCTTGAGCCATTGCTGTCTTAAACCTTTCACTCTTAAAACCTTCTCCACTTCGCAACATGCACACAACTCGACTGAAGTCCTTTTTTTGGTAAAAAGCAATGCATGTTGCTCGAAGATTATCTCGTCCTGCCCTACCTGATTCCTGGTAGTAACTTTCAATTGATTTTGACATGGTATGGTGAATTACAAAACGCTGCCAAATCAACACATCAGTTCCACCAAGTACGATTATAAAATTGAAATCGGCATAACCAAATTCAGAACTTCACAACATGTGTTCAATGTATATACTTGTTAGTAGACTTACCACATCTGCTTTGTCTATGCCCATGCCAAATGCAATTGTTGCGCAGACAACTTTACCCTCTCCAGTATGCCATTTCCTCTGAACAGCAACTCTCTGACGAGCAGCTAAACCAGCATGGTAGTACACTGTTCTTATTTTACATTTTTCATTTAAATATTTGGAAACTTCAACACATTCATTTTTTGATAGACAATATACAATTCCAGACATATTGTTAAAACGATCTTTCACTAGCTGCCCAAGCTGCTTTAGTGAATCTTTGCTTTTAAATACTACTTCATACTTCAAGTTAGATCTATCAAAGCTTGTCTCGAGAACTAAAGCATCAGGTATTCTTAAAGTGTCCAAAATGTCCTGCAAACCCCATCATCATTGTTCAATCTATTATTTCTGAATATACATAATGAAGAATACCTAACTTCACAATTACCTTTCGGACCGGCCGAGTTGCAGTTGCAGTTAATGCCATAAGAGGAACCCTGGGGAAATTTTGTTTAAGACATCCTAATCCCCTATAATCTGGGCGAAAGTCATGTCCCCATTGGCTAGAAAACAGGAAAAATAGGAAACATAAGTATATACAGAAAACTATCTTCCTTTTACATATCAAAATCTGTTCCAGACATACACAATGATTCATTATATGAACATCACCTTACACAATGTGCTTCATCTACAACGAATCTTGCAAGTAGGTCCTGTCATACAGCATAAGCTATGTTATTTTTGGAACCATTTCAACCAAACGAAGTGAAAAAACAATATGACATGATAGCAGTTGGCCACACTACATTTATACAATAAATTGACTACCTTTTGGTATAAGCATCGCAGTATATCCATAAATGACAGGTTTCCAGCTATTCTTTCAGGAGTGACATATAAGAGTTTGCATGAAGGCTTGCCACTTCTGCAAAGAAAAAAGTAATAGGCAAGTGTGACGTTTGATCATTTTAAAACAACTTATTGACTAATCATTAGTACTGATAATGCATTAGACATAAGTTGATGCTTTCCAGTTTCAGCCCCCTTAACTAAAGGGGTATATCACCTGAACTTGACTAGCATATTTGTGGTTATTAAACAATTTTCAAGAGTCATTTTATCACTTAATTTGTGATGGTCAAAGCTTATTGCAGTTTCAAAAGCCATGTGTGCTAAAAGATGCTTGGTATATCACAAAGTTCACATAAGTATCATCCAGTTATTCTATGATGAGTGTGAGTCTTGGCATCATGGTGAGATTACTCCAATATAAGCCGGTGATCAGGGTTCAAGTCACAGAAAGAGTTACTATGTTAAGGCAAAAATTGGATCATAAGAAATTAATGAGAATGATATCATGTTTAAGCAGACGTAATACTTGATCATGCAGAACTCATTGTGAGTTCTCAGATTCTGTTGATCTTGTTAGTCAGCTCTATCCATTTCAGTTATAAATCCACTGCAGTGTTTATATGACATCTTTAACTTGAAAGGAGGTTGATACATAATATTTCAAACACTTAAAAGAGTAAAATAAATATCAGAACCAAGGAATCAAATATCTGTCAAACTGATACTTACCAACAAGATTCCCTGATTTGAACAAGAACCAGTAATAGCTCATCTATGTTAGTTCCAGTTGGTATTTAATTTTTTATAGTTCTTATGATGATATGGGGTGGTATGGGTCTGACCACTTACCAAAACTAGTAGTGAACCGACATTTAAATCTTTGATCAAAACTAAAGTTCTCATAGTTCAGAGCTGAAACAGAACCTGACCTAAGTTCTTGGATGACCGCCATTGCCTGCGAAGCAGTTTGCTGCGAATTCAGAAAGGTTGCAGGCACTCCATATTTGATGTTGAGTGTAGTGATTTGGTCTTGTATCAATGACAGTAAGGGGCATATAACGACTGTAACGCCTGGATGAAGAGTAGCTGGGAGCTGTAAATACATGCCAGACTCAGCAAAATTTTTCAGATATTTGAGCATAAAAAATGACACAAGACAGCTTAATGATATAGTGGCAAGAAGTGTCAATTGTGTTCTATGACAGACAGGTTTTCCCTGATCCTGAAGCTAGACCTCCATTAGTCCTTCAAAATTATTAGAAAACTCAGAAGACCTCAGTTTTTCATTATGAGATATCCAGCTGCTTCGCTATTATGTATCTATCATAAAAACATTTTATATTTTAAATCTATATATTTCCTGAACTTGCTTTTAGCAGATGAGCTGTTCTCCTTGTCCTAACTTTTCTTATCACTGAGGAAAAATGCCTTCAGAATCTAGTTGTCACAATTACCAAGTGGTTAAAAACCAATACTTTCCACGTAAGCTTGAGCACCCAATAGGATGTTCATCATGACTGCCAAACCTTTAAAACTATAAATTAGAAATGGAGAGTTCAACAAGATTATCTGATAAATTGTCCTAAAAATATATGTATGGTAGTTACCAACTGGATATGTATAATTCTTCAATCTCTAGTTTTTTTATCTGTTAAAGCACTAATTATGGCCACAAAAACAAAACTTCCAGTTACCCTGGTTAACTAAGGCAGTAATACAAGAACCTAAAAATTGCTTGCCTACATAACATTGGAAAGATAATAGAACCAGACTGCCTTATCCTAACTAAAATGTGCAAAGAGAATTGTGAGTACCATTAACACCATAATATATATATATATAAGGCAAAAATCCTTTCAAAGATAACAACGTTGTCTCCTTAATATGTGTTAAACCTTTCCACAAAAATCATTCAAAAGCATAGATCTGTAATTATTAAACATACAGAAAAGCAAAAAACATGTAAAATTGTCTGAAGCTCAAAAAAATCAGAAGAGGAAACAGGATACCTGGTAACATAGACTTTTACCACCACCAGTGGGCATAAGGACAAAGCAATCTTTGTTCTCCAATGCTGCCTTACAACCTTGATACTGCAGAGCCCGAAATGTTTTATTACCAAAAATCACGACATTTGCCAATAAAATATCATCCATAGACTGCAATTCTTCATAACTTAGACTTTCATGTCTGTGTTGTGTTGCATATGAGCATGTCCTTCCATTGGCATAGGATGAATCTTCTTCACATGTATTAGTGTCTTCAGAAACCTTCAAAGGTGAGACAGAATAAGTAAATGTATAAGTGAAAGTAAGACAACTCTAAGCAGATCCTGGCCATTGATATCTGAAATCAGGAACAATTGGCAACAACAAAAATAGAAGTACAACATACAACTGACATAAATTGGGATGGAGAAATCAGTGACTTGGTAACAGTGATTTAAAAAGCGTTAGGCGCCAAGGTCCAAAAACGCCCGAGGCGCTAGGCGCTCGCCTGAGCGAAGCGAGGCGCTAAAATATAAAAATATAAAATATAATTAATAAATATAATTATTTAAAATTTTAAATAAAAATATAAAAATATAAAAATATATAATATAATTAATAAATATAATCACATTAACAGTATAAACCTGCTGACGGAGAAACGAGGAAGCAGCGGCGAGCGGCGGCAGCAGCGACGGCGAGCGGCGGCAGCAGTGGCGGCAGCAGCAGCGGCGAGCGGCGGCAGCGGCAGCAGCGGCGAGCTGTCACGGACAAACTTCTCAACAAGATGTTGGATGTAATGCTTATGTGTGTCCGTGTCTTTTGGCATGTTCATGCCCTGTACAGAATGTAAAGGGGCGGCCGAAGGCTTATAAGTCCCATTTTAGTTGGGTGGTGGCCTCTTTAGGCTTGTAAATAAAGGTTGTGTCATGTGGACACGTGCGAGAGCTTTTCGGTCTGTAATGGACCATTTTACCCTTTGTTGTGCCACTGTTCAGAGCTTGTAAAGTCTGTTTGTAATTTGCATTGCTTATGAAGTGTTTTTCGGACATGTTTGCTTGTGGATCCCGATTGAGGTGTTCTCTCTTACCTGTTCTCTCTTTTGTTGGTCCTAAGGGACAATGGGAGTCTTCGGGGAGGCTGACCTTTGCGGACGGACACGCAAGGGTGCCGCACGACTTAGGCAAAAC